GCAAAGTGATGTACTAAAGTTTCATAGAGAACATAAATATCTAAAAAAAAGTCCGCAATACCATTTATGTCACAGTTATGTCACAGCTAGAGGTCCCCCTGCGGTTTCGCCCGCGTTAATTTAAAGAAAAATGTTATAATGAGTTAAACTTCAATTCTGGACATATGCTGTCGGGGACCTTTTTACAGAACTTTTAAAGAGGAATAATTCCGTTGTATATGATTTTTGTGTAATCTTAACCATTTACCCAGCGCACGCAACGGAATCTCACAAAAGGAATATTTTTACCCGTCTTTGCAGCATTTTTCATCGATGCACCGCTGCTACTTGTCGTAGCCTGATGTTATATAGCCTTTTATAGCCTTCCTTGATAAATTCACTATCCAATACAAAAATATTTTATTCCGGACACATCTATCGGCCCACTTGGTGATATAAGTTTTAACGGTCTGTAGCAAAAATAAATGTGTAAGTTTGAACAATAATTTTAAAAACACACGAAAAGATGGTTAATTAATCAGCTTTAAAACTGCGTAGGTAATAACTTTTTGGTCAATGTAACATTTATTTTTGGCTAGGGACCGTCACAACTTAAAATGCTAGATGGGTCGATAGATGAGTCCGGAAGTGTTAAATACATAAAGGAAGATTACATTTTCTAAACTTCTATGCGGTGCTATAAGAGAGCTGAATAAACGTAAATGACCGCTGTGAATTCGGATTAAAAAAGAGTTAACAATAGGTGTTCGGTATTTCGTCCGCTGTCTCTGTGCTGGTGTTCGTGAGAAATTGAGAGCACCGCTTACGTTGAATGGCACACCGCGTTGAGAATCTGTATCGCTATATTTTGTTTCGAGTGAGCAATGATAGGATAGGCTAACTTCGACTTCTATTTATGTATTTACTAAAAAAATTCTACGAAGATTTGTGTATCTTATAGTACTTATATTTATTAAGAAGAACCACTAGAAAAATACGTAAATAATTTCTTATAGAGATTTCGTTGCCTGCGTTAGAGTTACGCAAAAATGTGTTTAAATTAAAAAAGAAGTCCGTGTAGGCAAATGTCTATATTTTAAGGTAAAGGCCAAATGTCACTTATACATCATATAAGGTAATCTATTTTTTCTTAAATAATGCATTATTTATTTGAAAAAGTATTTTTGTAAACAAGCGGCGCTCAGCTTTTTATCAACAATATACCTTTATAAATAACTAGCAAACCCCGCGAACTCCGTTTCGCCACCAGATGGCTTCGTTTCATGTAACATTTCGTTTGGTGATTAAAAGAAGTTTTTTTTTTATTTTTTCCTTAATTTTCTTTGCTATAAACCTCACGGAGCCCGAGACCTTTCCAACGAATGCAAAACCGTGGAAATCGGTTCGTGCGTTCTGGAGTTATAGCGTCAGGAAGGAAAACCCGACTTATTTTTATATAGTAGATTATTGATTTTACAATTGCTCATAAAAAAAAGGTTCTTAGATAGCTAAGAACCTTTTTAAATAGTTCTAACTTATATTTCTTAGAGAAAAACTTAATATAAGTAAAAGAATCCCTAATGATATTTGATAACATTTTATCTTTTTCTTCTATTAAATACTTCACTAAACTCAAACTAGTGTTTGCACCTAAAACTTAAAATTTCATAACGTAAGTACCTAATTAGATGTAAATCTCATTTCCATAGCCGCATCTCTACAGTGCCGCATTTTGGGTATTCCCCTTAATCGGTCAACAGTCTTTAATTGTCAAGAGGATCTTTTTTATGTGTAAGTTTAATGAATGAATGAAATTCAGTCAATATACATATTTATTTACAAATAAAAAATAATCAAATATTTTTTCTTGTCTTCTTTTATGTTGCTTTAGAAATGAAAAGAAGATGGTTCAAAAGTGGTAGTTGGTTTCAGGCAGCGATCAAACATTTATCATTTGAAAGCTTTTTTATATGTAGTACCCAAACATATATAACGTCATATTTTTAGTCTATGGCATCTTATAACGTAAATTCAAACACTCTGTCCAATGGCAAACTATCCAGGAATGCATGATATTCGTGAAATCGTAGCGAAATTATTTTACCAATTTATGATTGATTCTTTTTGAAATAAAATATCTACAAAATACCTAATAATATAATGGGAGATGAACAGAATAATTATCACTGCTTTAGTTACCTATTGAATAGAATATAGGTATCTGATGTTTTGGTAACCAACAGTAGACAAAATAACTTATTATGAGATGGTGACTGGATAAAGGTGCACAAATCTACACTGTTGCATGAACATAGGTTTTAAATAATGATAAATAGATTGATGAGCTCCAAATTGCGTATTTTGATTCGTGTCAATAATATAGACCCTAGCAAAGGTTTTAAACTGATAAACATGCATACGTTACAGGATTGCAAATGTGGAATGAACACAAAACAAATGTGTTAGTTAACACTTTTATCCACTCACCCCTTGACAATCAATAAGTATGTAATTATGAGTTATGTTTATTATTATTTTTAAAAACGGAGACAAAATGAATCTTTTTTATCAAACGTTTCAAAAAATTAAATGCACTACGTATCATAAAAATTTGGAGTCTGCCGAAAACATGGACGTATAAAAAAAGGCGGACAGAGTTTCGGCTAAGACAATACTGAGGCACCGTAATGGCGGCGGCTATTGATGAGTGAGTGAATTGTAGGGTTGCTAGGTTAGCCAATTTTTTACCAATAAAACACAGTAAAAACATGAAAATATTTTGATTGTTCAAAATTTTACTTTTTACCCGACTGCGGAGGATAATGTTTTTCGAGCGTATGTATGCATGTATGTATGTATGTCCAATAATTTGGCACGCCCTACAGCCTGAACGTCTTGACGGATTTTGACATGCGAGGTGTCATTAGATTTGTCGTGATTGTGTGAGTGGCACTCGGTATATTAAAATTAAAAAAAAATAAAATAACAGATTTGAAACATTTTGAAAAAAAAGTATAAGTATTTTTATAACTCGTCAAGCGAGGTATCAAAGTGAAGGGTTTTAAAAGAATATTTAGAAAATATACAACTCGTGTAATTAAAAAATAATGAAATTAAAATGTCGAAAATAAAAAAAATGTACTAAAAAGAAAAAAACAAGTCCAGTAGTCTAGAATTCTGTTTAATAAGGAACAAAGTTACTTTAACAGTCGGGACTCATTAGAAATTCTAGAATGTATCGAATTTTTTCAATATTGGGTAAATCAACTAAATATAGATGGCCTAGTCTGCATTCTCTTTTATATTTCTTAAAATAAACTAACACCCATTGAGTACTGTTTGTAATTGAGGAGTTCCATTGTTTTCCTCCGAAAGTACCCATAAGATCTCCAGTAAATTATTATGCAGCCATCTCGCTAGTAAACTGATTAAAACAAAAAAAAGAATCATCATAAACGTTTCACGAATCTCGGAGATCTGCGCGAACAACAATAAAAAAAACAAATATGACGCATTGCGAACCTCTTTTTTTTCGAAGTCGGTTAAAAATTTTAATCAACCTTTCGAGGTAATGCATACGTAATAACACGCCGGAGTCCTCCTTTAGTTGTATATAAGTCTTGAGCTTTAAAATGAAGACTAAAAATACACTACTACATATTTGTTTGGAAATCATTCATTTTCCAGTAATTTCCCCATACTACATTTTCTTTAGGAAATTTGATAAAAAAGAATAATAAATAATAGATTGAAGTTAATGTCAACCCAATTTCCCATATTTTAGGTAATATGGTTACAAGAACATTGGCAACACTGGGCTTTAGACTAATCATTTTGTCCTTAGAATTAAAATTGATTTCGATTTCTAAAAACTAGAAAAAAGTGATTCAATTATTCATTTACCTATGAAACGTGATTCCTGGATTTTTTTTCTTTCGGTCACTACGGTTTTTACACCTTTTTACAAGTAAGATATCTTGTTTAGCTTATATTTTATCTCCACGAAACGTGTCGGCTGCTTTGACGTTTGCACGCGTAGTGGCTGACTATTGTGTGAATGTGTGCGTGCCAGCTTGTACGTACAGCGACCTGGCCGACTCTGAGCGACACAGTTTATTGTTTACCGGGACTCTGTCCGCCTTTTATTATAAGTCCATGGCCGAAAACTAACAAAACCAATACAAAATTAGCAGATAGTTTTGGCTAGGGTGGCATTTGGTTGGCTTGACTTAAGTTAGGTGGTGGTAACAGTTTCCTAACCCAACGACCTTAACCGTTTCCGAAACTGACAAATATTAAATCAGCATCACATATAGGTATATCTCGTTTTTATTTCAAATCCCATTCCAACAGGGGAGTACTATACATAACAATTAAGTATCGATTAAGCTTAAACCAAGTCGTCTCTACTACGAACCCAAATTCTACCACTAACATATTAATCTTAAAAATATTATAAGATTAGAATAATTTAAAGAGTATAATAGACTGTTTATCACAATTTCATTTCTGGTTCGGTGGGCGTTGGCTATGTTAGATATCCAAGCATAAATTGTCAGGGTTAGGGTTTTTAGGCATTATGCCTGAAGTAGTAAGGGCGAGTCACTTAAAGATCGATACTACATAATTCTTGTATTTGTATATTCGAATACATTAAGCTTTATTAAATGTTACAATTGCATTAATCCACCTACAAGTATTTTGAAGATAACGAATTTTGTTAGTATTTTTTATTGTATGTGTGTCAATGTTGTACTATATGTTTTAAGTACAATGGATGTCAGCAAATATAATTAGCAAGTTCACTTTTCCTTTTTGAGCCGAGAGAACTAAACACACTTTCTACTTTGACTGATGCTCTATGTTAAAGCTGCACTAGCAATATTCAATTTTACCACTGTGACTTGGTGTGATTTGTAAAATTCTTTTGTTTTACCTTAATGCAACACATTTTGAAAATAAGTGCTGTAAAGAAGTTTTCATAAAATGTCTCCGAATCGGTTCAATAGCACCAAACTCACCTTATTATGAAAAGGAATCGCCTGCTCCCTTACAGTGAACGGTCCCCAGCTCCGCAGTAGTTAAAATTACCGCATTCCTCCGTAGTCGGAGTGGGCTCGGGCGTGAGACCGGCACAGCTTCCCTATCTGGCCCGGTCGTTTACCGGGGCATCGGGTGCCTACACTACGGGTAAGGATCACTAAAACAAGTATTGAAAAACTGTCACCGAGTCGTGTACGGTCATGTTTAATTGATGTAGTCCGATTCCGGTGATAGGAGCGTTTGGCGTGGACAGACACGTTCGCTCAACGCGGCAACGCGCACGGCACTGGCGAGGTGACGCCAGCGCCACCCCACCGCGCGCATGCGTCCATTTCATCATCATCACTACCTCACTAGGCAGCCCGTAAACCGTCTACAAAACATCAAACGTTTCACGGACTAGAAGGAGTTTTCCCAGTGCTTTCGCCCAGATCCTTACAGGCTGCCCAAACCATGAAACTTTTTCCCTATAAATCATTTAAATGCTCTGCTTTGCTGGATATCTGTCTGAACATCAATCATTCGTTTACAAGTTATAATTTATGAGATCAAATATGAATAAAGGACAAAATTATTTGTCTTCTTTGACTATTAACAGACTCCTCTTTCCTAGTAGGCACTTTGGGCAAGTGCCCAGGGCCCCGCGGTCGATAGAGTCCCCCTCAGATCAAATACAAAGTCCCTAGTTATTGTTAGATCACCAAACGATAATCAATATTTATTACCAAAAAACATAAATAATTCGATGAAATCGAACCTAAATTACTGACTACAATACCAACTTACTAGCTTTCACATAAGCGAAGCTACTCTCGCCCAAAAATTAGCCTTTACGACTTCAGCATGCTTAGATAAATTATGGTAGACTAAGCACATACCTACACATTTTAAAGAAATTTATCAGTATGACTCGCTCCATTTCAAGTCATAATTCACATCACAGTCAAGGGGACCCCATTATCCTAATATGCCCAGGGCCTTCATTAGATTAAAGACGGCCCTGACTACTATGTACCATAAACAAGGATACTGTATTCACATAAAGAAACGTACCAAATCGTACGATAAAATAAAAAAAAGTTTATCTTTTTCTGATTGTGAGTCAAATCTTAATCTTCTCTCTCTAGACTCCCCTTTTAAAGGTGTTTTAAACTCTTTTTTCTAAGAATAAGTTGAACGTATATATCATTGCCCAACTATCATGCCCTTTAAATGGTTAATCAAACTAACACACCTTCAACGAGCGTGGATCATTAGATAGGTGCAAGGTCCCTAATTTCTAAAATTAAAACAGGACCACTTCAGATTTTGCTTGACAGAAATCCTTATTTAACAGTCACTTTACAATTTAAATTTTATATGTTATGTCAAAGTATTTTTAATAGGTACCTATTTATTTCTAATTCAGCATGAAAAAAAATGTGTTTTTTTTGATATAACCGGATCGTTTGCAGTAATCCTTTTTAACAGTCACTTTACAATTTCAATTTTATAATGATGAATGAAAAATATGTATCATACTATTTATTATTTATTTCAAATTCAGTGAAATCAAAATAGGAGTTAACGATATTCTTAGTGAATCGATAAATTATTGGGTGCATAGAAAAGACATCAACGCGCTAAATTCGTATTGAAAACGCCAAATATGATTATGTATGTGGTTATTGTACGAGAAATTAGATCATTATACGAATACCAACATAAATATCTAGTGATGATGTACACAAACATCATCACTAGATATTTATGTTGGTGCTTTTCCAATAAATCACTTTAGTTTCTAGATATCAATAATAAATATCTGATTATATAGAATATTGGTTCAACATAAAGAAACTTAGATAAGTATAAAAATAACAACATATGTAAGGAAAATAAAAATAGGAAAAAAAGGTTTTTGTCGTGTTTATGATAATGTATTAAATTTAATATTGTCATTTAATATTTTTTTAACAACTATGTTTAATTGTAAATTGAACAAAAAGAAGAAGAATTATAAAAATATACCAGCTTTTACTCGCGACTTCATACACGTTTAAATAGTGATATCGGTAGCTTATATTTTACGCAATCTGCTTACTATTTAATAATAGAAAAGTTAAGTGGTTTTCATTTGAAAACATAAATAATAACGTGTACAACCATATAGATATAGATCAATGAACGATTGGTAACTGAGAGTTAGAATTTAATGATATGAAATTCAAATAAATTTTATTCAAGTTGACTTGTAAAAAGCTCTTTTGAATAGTCCTCAAAAATTTTCTTACCACCTGTTCAGGTCATCTTTTAGCTGACAAGAAGAACAGGTGCAAGAAACTACACAGCTTTCTATCATCATCATCATGAGCCACTGTTCACAGGCCTTCCCTATGGATGGATTAGGGAGATTGGGCCAGGACCCGTCGCGCGGGCCCAGTGCGGATTGGTGAGTGCTAACGATTGTGGCGGAGCCATCCCAGATGTGCAAGGAATTTTCTACGCAAGACCGCACTTGCGTCTTGTACAACAAACACAGTCGCTCAAACGTGAACGCCGTACCTTTTTCAAGACTCCGAGTTTGCATGACACTGTTTTTACTACGCTTCCAATGTAGTTCTATGGATTGAAAGTGACAGCGAATTTCCATACCGAGCATTGTGATATTGCTCCCTAGCACCGGTGTGCCCTGAAGAGAAGGAAGGGGAAGGAATGGCGACGTTTTTACCGTGAAAGCGCAGACCTGGGTTTTCTTTAGCATTAAACTCAACTAATAGCTAGAGAGCTGTGGGCCAATCGCCTAACTAAATTGCTTAAGCTATCGCTATCGCTTACGATTTCATTTTGTTATTTCTGACCGGCGAAAGTTTTCAAATGCCTCACGCTCATTTTCTTTAACATTATTGTTACTAATGTAAAAGAAAAAAAGAGTGCGAGGAATTTGAAAACCTCCGGCGCGGGGCGGTCGGAAATGTCAAAATGAAATCGTAACCGATAGCGATTGCCATGGCAATCCCGTTAGGCAATTGGTGGCAATTTAACTATATTTTTTTTCTAAATAATTTCGAAATTGTAAAGAACAATAAAATACAACATATTTATGATATACGTGCGGAAAGTAGGTTGTGAAATGCGTAGTACTTATTCGTAATAATAAAATTTTTCGCTCACGTAGGTATCATACAACATTTTTTCAATGTATTTTGCGAGGAAATAAAATAAAAATATAACCTATTTATTTAAAAATACATACTAAACTCAATGGTATTTTATAATAGACTAGTGGCCCGCCCTCGCTTCGCTTTGGTGTAGAGCTGTAGTGTATACTATAGATTTTGTTCCCAGGCTTGTAACATACTCAATGAATTTATTTATTTATTTATAAACCCTCCATGGAAATTTATTTTACTGCTAGTGATAATTTTGTTGCGTAGTTTAGGACCCGTTGTACCGAATGCACATTTTTTTGGTTGAACGCGTAAATCTCAGAAGTAATTGTCCGATTTGAAAAAAATCTTTTTCTGTTAGTGCATTTATTGAGGAAGGCTTAAGGCTATTTAATAGTACGCTTCGACCAGTAGGAGCCGAGTGTCGATATAAAATGTTGCAAACACGGGTAAAAATATTCCATTTGATCCGGGAGATTTGGGAGATTCCGTTGCGTGTGTTGCGTAAATGATTAAAGTTACCCAAAAATCATGGACTCGGGTGACGGAATTGTTCCCCTTTAAAAATTCTATAAAAAAAAGTAGCATAATAATATGCCCATCTTTTAAGTTTGACTCACAATAAACTTATTCCTCAAATTAACGCGGGTGAAACCGCAAGGGATCATTAGTTGTGACTAAACTGTAATAGTTAGATGTATGATATCGCGGATGGTATTTTTTTCACACCCGAATTTTTCAAACGGGACACTACCTTTTTTGAATATACTCTATAGCCTAGTTTCATCAGTGATAATGTAGAATTCTAAAGCTGTAAGATTTTTTTTAAATCGGTCCAGTAGTTTCGGAGCCTATTCAATACAAACAAACAATGAAATCTTTCCTCTTTATAATAAGTACTAGTGCGGGGGATGGTCAAACAAGAAACTTGCTCACTACTCTCAGTATCTGTCCGATACTGGGTTTGGCGAACGGGTTAGGGAGTAGCGCAAGTCGCAAGGATCCCCTAATCAAGGCCAGAGGACTATCCTTCACGAGGTTGCCGCCCGTTATTGGTCAAATACCTTCTGTAATTGACGTAACAGAAACCTCTGGCCGGACCTCAAATCCCGCATAGCCAAACCGTGGCGGCGCATATCCACACCCGGGCTCACATGGCCTAGGGGAACTAAATACCCCCTAAAATATTGTACCACACACCCTTGGGCAGGAGTCGTGTGCGTTATTTGGCATTCCCGCCAAAGCCCCAAACCCAAAACATGAGTGCTGAGAAAGAGAAAATAGTACCCCAGGAGGGTATCGCGAATAGCGAAGAATCCCTCACCAAGCCTAGCTTGGTCTGTCCCGCGTATTCTGGGGGGGACAATCAGCGCTCAGGGAAGGGCGCAAGCCTGGACCTGTCTGGCCTAGCTGAGGCCATAACTTCAGCTACAACAAGCTATACAACACCTGCACAAACACAGTGGACTGTGGTCGCCCATAAGCGCCCCTGCAAAGGGAAGACTGCTAGTGCGGCGGCCACTCACAAACACACAAACAAAGGTTCGCAGGGCCGAACAGAACGCAGTCGCCACAACCGGCGCGCGAGAAGGGAAGCCCTGCAGCCCAAAACCAAACTTGACAGTACACAGTCGGTCACCGCAGCAGTGGAAACACAGCGCGAGCCTGTAGAAATACAGAGGGCCGACAAAACAGACAACACAAACGCACACAAAACACCACGACGGAGACCGAAACCGAGGGGTGATCGTGGTCGGCGGACCGCTGCGGAGGCTCCCACTGCTCCTGAAAAGGAGCAGCCTGGGGCTGCGTGTGGCTCGGGCGAGGCAGCTTCTACGAAGCGGCCACGACTGGACGACACGCAGTCTCCAAGGGAGGATGCCAAACGCGCGAAAACCGACGCGAAGACGAAGCGGACGGTGAGCTAGGCAGATGCGAGTAAATCGCATCTGAGAGTAGCGGTCACCACCGTCCCGCCGAGGGACCTCTCGGCTGAGCAGGCGGAACAGCTGAAGGAGACCATCGACGATGGGATCCTGCAGGCAGTTCTGACTCCGCAGTCTCCAGATGCGCAGGCTCCAGCTTTCCGCGGGCGACCCTTCCTTTCGGACGGGGTGCTAGCGATGTGGTGT